CCTTTAAGTTCCTGGCACTTCATGGCAGTTAACATTGACTGAGCGCTTTCTACCTGCTGGCGAGTGCCAGGTGCTTTGTCAGGCACAGTCTCCAGTGGGTGAGGAGACAGCAGAGAGACGTTTACAAATACATGAATGGCACTGCATGTGATTCGAATGCTAACAGCAGCTCCAAGGAGGCTGGAGCCACCCAGAGAGTTCGGAGAGCAGAGGTGGGATACGGGGAGATGTCCAGGTAAAGGGCACAGCAGGAACACACAGCTGTGTTCTATGTTCACTACGGCTCTTCCTTCAAGGGAAGGAGAGAGCAGGCTGGGGAGGGGGCAGAAATGGAGAAAATGAGAATCTTGACGCCTTGAAGGGACTTGGAACTTATCGGGTAGCATTTCTAAAAACTGGCTGTTCTTCAGAATCATCCAGGAGCTTTTAGAAACACAGATTCCAACATTCCTCCCCCAGACCCACTGAATTACTGTCTCTAGTGATGAGGGTTTAGGATTCAGTTAAAAAAAAAATAATGTGCCAAGTGGTGGTTTGGAAGATTGGCCAGGAGGGTAACGATTGCTACAGGCAACAGAGAGCCATTGAGTGCTTTCAGCATGTGCGTATAGGCCACGCTTGGGATCAGTTGCTTGATCGCTTATTTGGGTCTTCAAGCCTCAAGGGTTGTTCATCTCCAGTCTACTGAACATCTGTCAGCCAGAGAGCTCTCCAAAATGCATATCTGTGTATACTTCTTCAGGCTCAAAACAGCTCAATGCCTTCCTACTGCCCTTAAAAAATAACCAAACTCCTACCCTTGGTACACAGATCCTTTGTGATCTGCCCTCGCTTACTTCTCCAGCTTCATTTCCTGCTATTCCCTCAGCTTTGCACTCTATGCTCCAGCCACACTGAATTTTTGTTAGTTCACCAAATGCTCTTTCTTTCTCCCCTGGGTCATTCCTTTGAACAGACCTTTCTCTCTGGCCAGACCATGTTCCATATCCCGGTCCCGCCACAACTGCCTGTATTCCCACTTCTGATCTCAGTTCAGATCACTTCTTCTGGGCAGCTTTCTCTGCTCCCCTAGCTCCTGCCAGATGGCTGGCTACAGCCTACTGTAGAGCTTGGCACTTCATCTACGATGACAATTATCTTGTCATAATGTAATGATTTATCTATACTCCTTCATGCTAACTTCTACTTATCTCACCCGCTGTGCCCCTAACAGGGGAAAGGTTTGGAAAGTGCTCAAAAAAAATTATGAAGGGCGTTTCAAGCCACATTAAGGAGCTTGAATTTCAACCTATGTGTAAAAGGGACATAGCAGAATTTTTTTATAGGAAAAGTGAAATGACCCAGTAGTGGTGGTGGTGGTGGTGATGATGGGGTCTTTCTGTATAACTAGCTTCAAGCAGGAATAAGGTTATATCCCACTGTAACTTCAAAGCTGCACAGAGAACTTCACTTCTTATAAACCAAGAAGCTCTTGGAATCTGGACACAAGAACATTCTGACTGAATACTGTAGTTCAAGGCCCATGACAGTCTAGCTCCTACTTGAGTGCTCACCTCCCAGCTCTTGGTGGTCGGCTCACTGAAGAAGTTGTCGATCATATTCAGTTCTTCCTTTTCCACCACCACAAAGCCTTGCTCTTTGGCATCCTTCCCATAGACGTCAGGAGACCACTGAACAAAGAATGTGTACAAGTGATCCACCCTGAAAAACATGTTCATCATAGGGATTAACACCAAATCCACTTTCCCGGCAGGCACTGGTAGGGACTTTGGCACATACAACCATCTTGTTCCTGCTTGGCAAAGCCGCTTTGCTAATTGGGAAATTTCTCACTGTGAAGATTATCTCTATTAGTGCATTCCAAACTCAGAAAATGAGTCAACAAATGAAAGCAGAAGTCCACAGACGTGGAGCAGCAACTCTTTCAATCTGAGGAAAAGATCAAGTGATACAGAGGCAGAGCTGCCTCGAACAGACTGTCAAACTATAGCGGGAAGGCCGGGGAGGGGGGGAGGGCAGGAGGGAGGGGGTAAGAGATCAACCGAAGGATTTGAATGCATGCATATAAGCATAACCAATGGACATAAGACACTGGGGGGTCGGGGAGGCCAGGGGATTGTCAAGGACGGGGGGAAAAAAAGGACACATACGTAATTCCCTTTGTAAGACTTTAAGCAACAAAAGAATTAAAAAAAAGATAACCAGAAAAAGAAAACACTAAAAAACACAATGAAATATATCAATGTTTTCCTCACCGGGTCTTCATTTATTGTACACCTGTATTTATTGGGAAAAAATTAGTCTGAAGCTTAAGATGGGAACCAAGAAAAACACGCTAATGGGTCTTTTTGTAGAGTGAAGCACTATTATAATTTTAATGAAACACCTTTAATAACTACAGAGTGAATGATACTAGATATTGTTTAATATTAGCAACAGAGCTGATTATATGGACATGGGAATGTCACTTGCTTCCAATTTCTCTGTTCTCATATACAGATTTAACACCTGAAGGTTCTGAAGCATCTCTCCAGGCTTCATCAATAGAAAGATGGCTGGTTTCCAAGCAGAGAATGAGAGCTCTCAGTCCCAGCACCTGCAATAGCGTGTGTGTGTGTGTGTGTGTGTGTGTGTGTGTGTCGGGGTGGATGTCAATTTCGGTATAAAACATTCTTGCTTGCATATGCCATTCTATTAGAAATATCTCAACCTGAGTAGGAGCCTGGGGTGACCAGGTAGGTCAGTGGGCTTCTTCCAAGCCTCTCCTCTGGGTTCTGCTAGGTTTGTCCCTGGAGTGAGCGGCTGCTTCTGCAGCGGTCAGGGCCAGCCCTTTAAACAGAGTAAGCCCTGGGCTTCTTAGACTTACCACAGGAGCAAGTCTCTAGAAAGGAGGGAAAAGGCATTCTCAAAATATCAGAGTCATAAACATTTTAAAATATGTATATTTTATTGATTTCAGAGAGGAAAGAGGAGGGAGAGAGATAGAAACATCAATGATGAGAGAGACTCATCCATCAGCTGCCTCCAGCACGCCCCCTCCTGGGGACCAAGCCCTCAACCCAGGCACGTGCCCTGACCGGGACTCAAACTGTGACCTCCTGGTTCATAGGTCGAAGTTCAACCCCTGAGCCATGCCAGCTGGGCCATAAACATTTTTAATATTAAACAGAGAAGCAACCTTATAGTTTTTATCCATGCTGATGAAATACACCTGCTACCTAAAAAGAAAAGATGTGATTCCCTGACTCAGGGACCTTCCATTGCACGATAACTCTAAGAGGCAAGTGTTACTATGCCCAGTTTAAAGATTAAAACACTGAGGTTCAATAGACTTACTAATGTGCCCAAACTCCCCATCCCTGAAAACGTCCCAGCCAATCTAAGCTAACTGGCTCTTCTTTTATGAATGCTGACCTCCAAGGGAGACAAGTACATTTCTGTACCTGTCCAGTCAGACGTCTCACAGTATGGGCAACTACTTCTTTGGCTTTAGTTTTATTAATGAAGCATAAGTACTAATAGTGAGAAGCCCTGGGTGGCCCTTAGGGCTGCCTACTTCCTGTTTCTCCTCCTCCACCTTCATCAACAGGCTCACAGCACTGCTAGCTCTGTGCTCTGTTCCTGGAGACAGCACTGTGGGGCAGCCGCCTCACCCCAGGCATGTGCCTGGGGATTGTTCTCCACTGGCTGTGGCAGGGAGGGCAGCAGCCCTGAAAGGCCTCCCTCTTCTCTCAGTTGGCGGGTTCTACCTTACAGCCAACAGTCATTCTAGCCTTGGAGGCCTCAGGTAATATGAGACGGGAGACCTTAAAAGTATGTTCTGCAATGGGGCACCCCAAGGGGAAAGGTTCCTGTCTCTTCTCAGACATTGAGGACACTGTCACACCCTGGTTTCCCTCAATGATAGGCTTGCTCAGAACACCCCCTCATTCTCTTATGCAGAGAGGGCCCTCATACCAAGCTTCTGATGGAAAAGCAGGAGGAATGGGGAATTGGCGAGGCCTGTTCCACAGGAAAAAATTAGAGTTCATTTGGGACCAAATTGCTTACCTAATTCTTAGGCCCCTGGAAACCAAATGGAAGAATCAGTGTCCCTCTCCCCAGCTCCCTTTTGCTCAATTCTCCATCCTTTGTTTGTTATTTTTACTAATTAATGGGGGGGGGGGGGAGGAAAAGGATATGACGTCATCATTTTTCTTTCCAGATTAGAGTAGAAACTTATTGAAGTTTATTTTACCTAATTCTTGGAATGGCTCTTTTTGGCTCACTGGGTTTTCCTAGTGATTAGTTCCCAGAACTCAAGCCTCCCCTCTGGAAACAGGCCTCAAGTTCTGAAAATTCCCCTCCTGGCCCTCTGCCGCCACCTCCCCCACTCCTTCCCTCAAGACTGTATCAGTTAGCCTCTCACCGTTGACCCCCATCCCTCCTCTTTCCCCAGCCATTGGCCCCTCCTGGGTGCACATCCTTCCAGGACAATCTTTCCATCTGCCCCTCGCTGCTGTCCCCTAGCGGCACGCACTGAGCCTTCCAAACACCTGCCCACAGAAAGAGAAACACTCATCTTTCTAACTCCCCCCTTTCCACGGAAATTGCTGGATTTGCTGATTCATGCTTAGGGAATCCACTATAAATCAAAGACTGCTAACCTTGGCTAGGAAAAAACCCTCCCTCCAGCTCTCTTCCTTGGCTACTCCACACAGCTATTCCAGACCTCTGCTTTCTCAGGCTCTCACCCCCAACCTCGTACCCACCTCCCTCTCTGAGCACAGCTCCCTTCATTATACCATCCTCATGATGCCCTCCCCTCCGCTGTCCCTCTTAGCGATCTTTCCCTGCAGAAAAATGAACTCCTCTCCAGCTTTAACCCTCCCCTTTGTATTTTCAACAGGCCCCCTCCCTGGTGAATTTCCTCCATGTCTCCCACCTCAACTCTCTGTCCTCTCCATCCCTTTATCTCCTTCATCTTAATCCACAAACCTGCTTGCATTTCCCCATCCTAAAAATATAAAAGCCTCTAAATTTTGTTTTTCTCTAAAGCTCCCTTCCCATAACTCATCTTTCCTTTAGAGTTCATTATTAACATTTGGCTTAGTCTATTTTCCACCTTCTTTTCATTCCTGAATTGTTTTCCATTCTGATTTTATTAACCTTTTTGTATATGCACTGTGTTAAATCTGCTTTAGATACAGTCTAAAAAGAGGTAAAAAATATTAAATCTTGTTCCCTCCCTCATTGCTTCAGTGAAGCTCCTTTTCTCCAAGTGACCTATTATCAAACCAAACAGTATCTTGGGCATCGTTTGTCTTGACCTGTTGATGGCTTTTTCGAAGCTCACTCAGCGACTCATCCTGTGGTCTCGATGCATCATATTTCTCAGCCTCTGTTAGCCCAGGACACTTCCCCTAATTGCCACTCCACTGGTCATTAAGCTATGGATGTGGTAACAACACGTGAGCAGGAAAATGGGTCAAGAACTGGGCCCTGACAAATGCTAATGTTTAAGGAGGAAGCGGTAGAAGTGGTCCTGGAAGGAAGCCAGGAAGAAATGGCAGAGAATCAGAAGCGATTTTATAAAATGCAAGTCTGATCACTTCACCCAGCTATGCACAATTCTTCTAAGAACTCCCCACGGGTTTATGATAAATGCAAACTCCGTGGTGCTGCCAGAGAGCTTTGATCTGTGTTAATCCCCAAATGTACTCCTGGTTCCTGCCATATGCTATTATATGTTTGCTCCAACATCCACTCTGGCCCCTATGCCCAAACTGCTTTGCTTCCTCTCCTCTCCTCTCCTCCCTTCTCCTCCCCTCCCCTTCCCTGTTCTCCCCTCCCCTCTTCCTCTCTCTCTCTCTCTCTTTCTCTTCCTCCCTTCCTTTCTTTTCTTTCTTCTGGGCATGTATCCTTGGCTGGAATTGAACCCGGGACCCTTTAGTCCGCAGGCTGATGCTCTATCCACTGAGCCAAACCAGCTGGGGCTTCTTTCTTTATTTTTTAAGAAGAGTGATGACAAAGGTTAAGCCCAGGGGAGAATCCTCTTAGGGTAGGGCCCGGAAAGGGGTCATGTTAAGCTCGGTGTTGACAGAGGACAAGTCAGTTACAGGAAGAAGGGGAAACGGCATTCCACAGCAGGGAACATGTGCAAACAGACATGGCATGTTACAGCAGGGTGGTGCTGGAGGAGGTCACCCTAGACACGGCAGAGAGGAAGAAGGGCAATGCAACAGGGCCCTGGCGACTTCTGACAGACAGAATAGATGGGAAGCCCCAGTCCTCAGGTTGAGGGGCGTAAACAAAACCTCCTTACATAATTCCAGCGACACCCGACCGAAGCCAGTGGGCACCTGGGCTGACTGTGCTGTACAGAACACATCAGGCAGGGGAGGAATTCCTAACAGGAGGGATGAAAGGGCCAGATTTATTCTTTCCTTAATGGAGTGGCAGGAGATGAGAAAGAAAAAGCCAGAGGGGCTGGTCCCTGGGTCACAGAAAGTCCTGGCCCAAGACCAAAGGCTTGGACCTTACCCTGAGACTACTGCTTCCCAAAGTGTGGCCGGGGCGGCTTCCATGACTTCGGCGGATACACAGAGGAACATATTTAGATAGGTACATCTTTATTTAAAGAGCATCACCAGGAATACAGCGAGCATATTGTACTTCTGATTTCACAGATACTACTGCTCAGGAGAAGGCTGAGAAAAAAA